CCCCCCCCCCAGAAGTATCGCCGGCTTCTAGTGGGTCTGGGACATGTGCCCTAGTCGATGGAGCATCTTGGCCAGCTCCACCTCCTCGGCACGAGCAATCATTCCAATGTCGGGATGCACCCCAGCATTTTTGTGGTATGCTTTTTGTGCCATCAACGGGCTCATCGATTCAACTGAGCTACACGAGCTCTGTCGCACGTGATACAGGGAATCTTCCGAGTGGGCGGGACTCACAGGAGACTCGCGGCACAAGGATAACGAGGAAGCCGCCAGAGTGCTTCTGGAGATCGAGCCACGGGAGGCGGTTGTATGGGTTTGCGTTTTGGCTTGTAGCCGCGATGCGGCGGCGGCCTGTTGCTGTGCGTACAAGAACTGTTTCATCCGGGCAGTCTTGACCAAGTCGTCCTTGATGGGGGCCAAGAACTTTCTCAAATGCAGCACCATGTCTTCATTCGATACCTTGACGTTCCAATTTAGGAGGAAAAGCAATTGCACCTCCATCAAGTTGACGTCCTTCAAGCTGAATAGCCCGTCGGTGTACTTCGCCCAATGGACGTTTTTGGGGGACGAATCGTTGTGGAACTTCAGCGCTAAGATCAAGCAGCTCAAGAAGACACGGTGTCTGGTGCAAGCCAAGCCCTGGGCGTTGTGCGGCAATTTCAGCTTCAAGCGGCCCAACAACACCAACGTGGCCATCAACGTGCCTGTGTACACATTCGTGTACTTGACCAACTTGTTGATAAATGACATCAACGATGGGAGCGGCTTGCCGCCGTTGGTGCTCTTGCTGTTCTTGTCTTCCTGGCACTGAATCACCTGCAAGGTGGCCACCACAAGTTTATGGACCATGTCCTGAGAAACAGGGGTCCTGATGAAGACATTAAGCGCCTTCAAATCGAGTGACGAAGTCATGTTTATCGGATTGTATGTGTTGTATTTCGTGGGAGTATGAGTGGGAAGTAGGAACAGTCAGATTCTGCAGATCAGATCTAGATAGTCAGACAAACAACACGGGTATCAGAGGAGCAAGCTGGAGATTCTATTGGCTTGCAAGAAAAAGATGTGGTAAGGGGGCGAAAACAAAATGAGAAAGAAAGGACCGCCGGCGGGTAAAAAAAAAAATCCTCCCTCATCAAGTTGGAATTCCCAAGAGAAACCAACGCATATTAATACTCATGGTCCGCGTCAGAGTGCTAGTCGAAGAAATCTGCAAGGCGGCCTCGCGACGCAGGTCCATGCCACCGCGCTGCCCCTTCAACGCGAGAACGCCCTTTACGTGCAGGTGTATACATACCCACACGTCAGAGGTCCATTTTAGCACGTGAGGGAATGTGGAGCACGCGGAATGCACACCACTGTATGAGCAGAAAAAGAATGTTGCAGGACGTTTCAAACATCACAATGGGCCGCTGCAGCAGGATGCTTAAAGCGCGTCCAGCTCAACCCGTTTCGGACGAATAGTTTCTGGAACAGAGGAATTTTTTGTTCTTGGCGGTGTTTTCTTCCTGCCGAATGGGGGCTGGTGCCCGGCACCACCTCCTTCTTGTCCCTTTTCTTTCCCGCGGCATTCCCTGGCACGGGTCTCGCTTCGAGTCAGCGCGCCCTCCCTGTTTCCACCAGTAGGTGCCAAGGCTTAGGTCTGGCCGAAAGAGGAAAATTAGAACAAAACCCCGGCGGAAAAAAAAAAGAACGATGGTGGAATAAAAAGAAACCTTGTAATCTGAAAAGGAGAAGGAAGGGAAGAGGACAAAAAAGAAACAGTGCTCATCACCCCGCGGCTGCAACATGTTCAGGCAGTCGAAACTGGTGCGTTGTCGATTTACTTTCGTGCGCATCAAGACGCGTACTCTGAGTGCGCAGTTGCCAGCATGTAGCACCCGGAACTCACCCGGGCATGTGATCTGGCACGTGACCATCACACCCACGCTGGTCAATGTCGCCAATGTCGCGCATTGCACAAGGTCAAGTCCATTCTGGCAATACCATCGTGTGACTTTAGGACACTTTCACCTCGATATAACAGTTCTATATTTCTTTTCTTTCTGGTCTTAAATTCAGTTCCTACCTGGATATACTTCTTCTTTTCATTTTCAGTATTCACAGGGAGTGAGAGAATGCAAATCATGTTGTGCTGTGGGTCCAATTAAATAGGCATTGCGGGCCTAGTACCCTAAACATGAAACACATGATCTACCTATTTCCGGCCGAAAGATGGCATAATTTGATTGGGATTTCAGCTTTATGTGGTTTCGGCAAGTTTGTCTCCATACTTGTGCCAACTGAATCCTCAAGGACGAATCGTCTGATCAGCACTCCTTGGCGTTGAAGTATAATTTCGCCAAAATCGCTTTTGTGCCGAAAAACCTTCGCAATCTGCTTTTCAAAATGTCTTTTATGTTCTCCTTGTAGTTAGCATTAATGTATCATCCAAAAGTATTGCTTCTTGCAACCGACATCCCTCTATTGCGCACTTTGAAGGCACCCATCACTTTATTTCTTCAAGGACGCAACCCACCGTCGGACCATTCTTCATGTTGCGAAAACTTCTCGACCTCAATCATTCAATCCCCCATTTTCGAGCATACCTCGGAAGCTGGTGGTTGGCTATTTAGCTTCTTGATGGTTTTGTTCCTGACATGGAGTTCCGAGGGGATAATGTTCTTTCTTCCGGGGTGAAAGTGTATGGTATGGGTTAGATCCTCCCTCTTTCTCATGGTTCTTGAGTACTTAAAATCTCTGTAAATTTGAAACTCTTGGTTTTCTGATTTATCATTCGTCCTAGTGAAAATATATTTTGTCGCTGTGGTGTTCTCTCTCTTTGTCATGTTTGTTGCCTCTTTTTTCCAATCGTTTTGCCTGCTTTTGAGTAAAGCGATACGCTTGGTGCGAACACAATCAATACAGCGAATAAACTAATAATCCCAAGAGCCTATTTCAATGAAATACAAATTTATGATGACATCCTCAAGAATGGATCCGCCGTAAAGTTGGAAAAAAAAAAAGCAAACTCCCACATTCACCGGCGTTCCGGTGTACTGCTTTGATTAAAACCTTAATTTGCCAGGACGACATAGACTCAGTGGGCCAATTTGCGTCTAGACCCTCCCATTGTGTGAGAAGCAGCCCGAGTATATCACTGTTTGGATTTTAGGTGGAAGTTCAATCGGAGAAAGGGACAAAATTTGAATTAAGATAATCAAGAAAACCAAAGTATAAGTTGAAACAAGACTCAGTAGCTTATTTCCCTGAACATGGCGCAATAGTCCCCCGTGAGATCTTTTCTGCCTATTAAGCAAATTACTATCCAATGTGGTGTTATGGGAATTCCTGAAGGATGCTGATTCAGGGACCTCAAAAGCTTTTTAGGAAATACCAACTCTCTCTTAAATTAGAGACGAATGCGCCTCGCATTCTAGCAAATCATGAAGTGCTCTTTCGTCTCTCAGAACATTTTCACGTTTTCAACAATATCCTCAGTGACTTTTTAGATGTTTTTGCCTCAGATTAGCGTGGCAAGTCAAGATGGTGTTCATGGAACGGCAAATACTTCCGAATTAGAATTTCATGATTTTCCGTGTCAGTCAGCCGCCAATTCCAGAAAGTAAAATAACAAATATGGCTATGCTTGGAATGTGCAACAACTGCTTGATGGCGTATCGAGATACATACGGGCACTTCGTATTAGAGCTCAAATCGTCCATCCATACTGTGAAACAGCCTGGAACTGATATTCGCTGCGCAAACAAACTTAGAAAGAAGGGTGGAAGAAACAGAAGTCACAAAATGCCCCAGAGGTATCTTGTTTATCCTTACAAATAAGTGGCATATCCCTGCAATTTAACCTGACGGGGACTTGAGGCATATGCGCTGCACGTGAGAGGTATTTTTACAGAGGATCTTTTACTAAAATGTGCTGTGATCCAGAGTCTCAATATTATGTGAAGACATGGTGGGATAAATCCATCCAAATGGATCATGCGCTTGAATTCTCCAGCTCTTACGCAATATGATTGAATCTTACAGTACTTTTTGGACACGCACTACTCCTGCCCCCATTCTTTTTTTTCAAAGTACTCAATCATGAATCGCGTACTCACAACGGCGCTTGAAAGCTTCTTAAACCAAGGCCCGCAACAAAACAGAATGCAAATCACTGGATTGAAATATCGGTGCTGCGACATGCGTGTCCCGAGACGAGGACAGAGATCACGTGTGCGGTCACGTGCTCCACGACTTCCGGGCCCCGCGCACCGGGCTCCCAGGCCTGACCTGGACCTTCCCGATCAAACCGCGCATTTCCCCAAATGACTCGTTAATACAGGCTGTTGATGTTTAACATTTTCCCGTTTGGGCTGCGGAGAAACCGCATAGCCTGGTTGCACGCGTTTACATGAAAACTGGTTCAGCGGCACTTGCATCGTTGGCACATGGGTTTGGTGAGGTTCTAGGCATATGAAATATGGAACATGACCCACCTGGCCAGATTCCGATGTGACTCGCCGTTTTTTTTGCTTTTCAGCCTGCGCCACTTTGCTAGATTGACTCTGGGGCGCTCATGGGAAAAGCTCCGTTCGGGAAATGGGAGAAAGAATAGGAAATGTAGGAAGAAAAAAGAGCTGGTAACGATTTCTTGGCTCCAATATGGCGAACAAACCAACCAAAAGTAAAAAAGCACAAACCTCTGCAGCATTCCAGATGCGGGAATTTCTATTCGGCGAATTAAGAACGCATTATTGTGGAGCGTGGACGAGCACAATACTTGAGAGCCCGAAACGCCATGAAACCATCGTCATTTCCAGGGATCGGCAGTTCAGACCCCGACTGAATTCCACTGTTTATGTCTGCTCAGCCCCATTTCTCAAGTAGTGCTGATTGAGCAAGCGTCGAAAAAGACGCTTGCAAACAAGTACCATCATGTTCGAAATATTGGCCTGCAATCTCGGCTCCAATGCAAGCCGATAGCGAGGCCCTAAATCAACGATGGTTGAGAGCAAATGAGAAAATAGAAATTTACGCAGTCAAGTCCAAACGCACTAAACAATAGAAGCTAGCAAAGCGAAAAACAATGCTAGCAACTACCCGAATAGTTGATTGGACGTGGTGAAATTGGCAAGTTGGTTTCCTGAACAGTTAGTATTTTGTCAAAAGTTGAATCAACAGATTCGGAGACATCTCAGGCAATGGGTTTACTGGATCGATCATTTATGAGTATTCTGACTGGTGCACAGCGTTTAGTCATCAAAGTGTCTCTGCAAGTTACATACAATTGTGTTTGATGAGGAGTATGTTTATCATGGTGCAAATTTTTTTAATTTATAACTGCGATGGTGCGGGTAACACCGCGTCACGTGACCGACCCTGGTCTTCTGTTCAGCGAGGGCAGGGCGAAACTTCATGCAATTCTCAGCTATCTTTCTGGTCGACCTATCGAGGCAAAGTTTCATAGAAAATGCCGCTACAGTTTTGAAATCTCTCAAGTATTATTCTTTTGTGTATTTTTAGAAGTTTTAAATTAAAAACTAAGTCAGATAATACCAAGTAGAGAACTAACATCGCAATTTTCGAACTCACAATCAGTTGGCACTATCTGAACGAAATTGCGAATATGGAAAACGGAAAACCTGCGGGGAAAATTCGAATTCAGATTTGCTCTTTTGATTTTCAAATGACGAATGGATTACGGAAGCTAAAGTATAAACAGGTATCATTTTTTTAAAATCTAGCTCCAGTCCATGACGTGTCCACATCGTGATTTCATCTGCGAGATGCGAGCCTTGGTTTTATAATAGCATGTAGTCCATGCGGCTGCGTTTCAAGAGTTCCAATTCATTTCTTTTTGTCACTTATGATGATCTGTATTCTAAATATAAAGTCAAAAGTGAAAGTTGAAAGTCGACAGCTTCAAGCTTGAACTTCTAAAGCGAATAGAACCACAATTTTCGGACACAATCGTGTATTCCCATGCTCTGAATTGGTCCAAGTTTGTCAGCTCTATACAGACAGAGCTTTCAAGACAGTAACAAATTACCAGAAGTGGCATATTCTCGTAAGAAGAATACAATTCTAAGTAAACAGATCTTGGTTTTTCTCTAACTGTCCAAAAATATCAAGGTTTGATTAGAATTTTTCGGAGAATGCGTTGTATGCGGTATCGGTGAACAAATCCCGGCTGGAACTCGAGAATGTAATCAGAATTTTTGTGCCTTGAACAAACATAATTTCTGAGATCCACAGGCACGAATTCTGAAACATTTTCTCAATTTTTTCATCATCCCTCTTTCTTTTAGTCAACCTATGAACTCAGTGATAGCACTAGAAATGCTGCTCTAACATATTTATTGTAGTGCCTCAGTGTTGGACTCTCCTCAACTTTGATTCGGGAAGCATATTAAACAAGCTTCAGAAACGAAGTATATACAAATGTTATTCAAAAACCACTGATACTCGAATATGACACATAGAGCTGAGCAGACATATCTGCAACCTCAAGAACATTCCTCACGTAAATTGTGGCGATAGTCCAAGGCCAGGAAGCAATAGTGAAACAGAAGAGCATGGTTACATCTGTAATTTATGCGCTTATTGCACAGATATGACGGTTTCAGAAAAACTCGAAATGTGAGTTTCGAATTGGAAAACTGTATATTGGCCTCTCCCAATCATATACTCTTACCCATATATGTCGAGGTGAATTTGTGAGGATTCATTGATGTATTGGTCTTATCTAGGCCAGAAAGAGATGAGTGGTATTTAAGCCTAGCACAATGCAACCGGCTGCAAAAGGGCTTCTCCATCATAATTATATAACGTAGAAGTCGTATAGATGCTTCTGATGGATTGTTTGCTCCGAACAATCTTTTTAATTATCGGCTCATTCATAGATCAGGAGCAAAACATCAACCATTTGTTGGAATATTTCGGAAAATATTAACAGACAGTGAGAGCAGGAAAATAACAGAAGCAACAGTCAAAGTCTTTATACGACACTGTTTATTCAGGCAGCAAAAATACCAGATAATTTTCCAGAAAGTGTAAGTATTAGAAAACCACAGTTTTTGGCTTGGAACAGCAGAAGAGCCAACTAATTATACACTATCGAGAAAAATCCCTCCTTTGAATTGCTTTCACCAGAACTGTATTTTACACCGGATAAGCCTAGCAACTATCAAATCATTAAAAAGGCATTTTCTATAGCGAAATCTATCCCACCGAGAGCAGTACACATAGTCCGTCAATTTAAAGGAAAGTGGCAGAACTTGATGCTTTGGCAAAGTATCGTTCAACTTCAGTTACTGATGCATCTCAGCGATATTTATCGGACAGCTGAGACCCATAACAAAGAACTACATATGGCGAATTGACAATAATTTCTGCCAGAAACACATACGAGAGATGTATAAAAAACCACCAATAAGGAAGAAGAGGTGTAGTTATCTTGTGAGGTAGGTGGTGAAGATTCATCAAAAAGTCAGGAAGATAGATCCCAAAGAGACTGACTTTATTTTTTGAACGCGTCTTTCCAGAAGTGCAGTCTCGCCTGTCATCGCTTGCAAATTACTTTCCAATCATGCTGCTATAACTAAATTCATCTATAACCTCATCCATGACAATCCACAACAGGATATTGCTAGCTTCTCGAAACTGTATAATCCATATTGATCAAATTTTCCCTCCTCGGTGTACATTTCCTCTGGTCCATATCCATAAACTCAATGAGACGAGTTCCTCTTTTGTCAAGGGAAAAAAATACGAGTCAGCCACAAAAAGATTGCAGCACCACAATTTCGCATATGGTCTCCCACTACACTACTCAGTGTGGCCCTATGCAGCTTAACTAACGTTGATCGGACGGGAAACAGTGCTTCCTGCATGGTATGGCCGCAACCGACGTTCGTAATTGAAGAAACGTCAGATAGTGTAAATGTAAAATTATTAGGAAGTTGCATCACCTTTTATTGTGCATCATTTGTTGACCTCAATTCTAATACCTTGCAAATAGTGGAGATGCTAGCTGCTTTACACTTAAAAGGTACGTATCTGGGGACTGTTTAAAGAGTTTTTTTTATATAATATTTATATAGGTTTGCTCCTCCTATCAGATCAATCTACCAAAAAAAAAAGTGGTGGGGTTTTGCACACCTTCAGTGACACCTTTTTTTTCAAAGAAACATATCCGGGTTTTATTCGTTGCATTTGTGAAAACACCTTGACCGATATGCCAGCAAGAACAACCCTATAATATGATGCTTCTTTCAAAAAAAAAAAAAAAAAAAAAGGAGCTCAAGAGTGTTTTCGAATTTTCACAGACATAGGGTTTCCTTGTTTAAAAAGGTTTTGCTAACTCAGGACCAAGCCTTATAATCACGATGTCCGTCCAAATCAGGAGAATCTGGTCACTGGTAGTTTAACAAAATTTGGCCGACGACTCTATAGAGATTCAAGTTCAAACACTGTCTTGGTGGTTTGGACAGATTCCAAAAAAATAAACAGTTAGCGCTTACTTTGATATTTCTTGAAGTGACACAAATATTACCAAAGCTTCTTCGGCTTGCAATTCTCGGAAGACGAAAACAAAGATGATGCAAAAGAATTCAGATAAGACTATAGAATATAAATTTTTTGTCTTCTATGTATTCTGTTTTATTCCGGCCATATTTTTTTGGCCGTCTGAGATGTAGCATGAGGAAGACTGGCTGAATGCTCTCGTTTCTTAAAGGTTGAGAAAAAATTTCACCAAGTTAAAGATGTGGATTTCAGCATGGTTTCCAATTTGTCACCATAAGATGGCAACTATTGAATATTCTATTATCGAAAAGATAAAATTGTGTTTTAAGTCATGTTTTTAATTTTGAGCAGAAATGTGAAAGCTGTGAGATATCTGTAAATGATTTCTCAACCTTTTAAACCACCTCTCTGGAAGTGTGAGTTTTTTATGTGAGTGGGTGATTCATATATTTTTGGGGAGATTGCAAGTCTCTTCCTGACAGACATAGATGTCCTCGATAGTTTTTTGAGCTTATGTCTGAAGTTTAGATAAGGCATATATTGGCATACCTCTGGTGACATCCGTGGTATCAAGGAGATTCTCACTGTTGCAGTGTAGTTTTAGCGATTTGTATAATAAAACTGGTGTCTGTGAGGTATACATACCTGAGGCTTCGTGAAGTCCTCTCTCTTTTTATACCTACATTTTGAGACAGATAGATTTGAAGGCTAAAAACTTTTGTATTTGAGCCTCATCCACAACATCCTGGAGGTTGATCTTCAGAAGGTTTTAGACCCAGTAGGATACCCAGTCATGCTATAACTCAATTATGACAAATATTAGCCTGGTGAGTATATATATATATAAATACCGGCAAGGTGAAAACTCAAGCTAAAGGTAGATCAAATGCAATGATTCTAAGACTTCATATATCAGCTCAATAAATTTTTTTCAATCACTACTTCTATTGAAAATTTAGGGGAAAGATTACACTTCATATACGCCTTAAGCACCAACTCATTTGTCAGTAAAGGGTATAAATAAAACATAAGTATAAATCACCACATTTTAGATGTTTATATTGAAGAATCCACAAATATGTCACATGATTGTTTCCTTGTCGATGTTTCATTTTCGTGATAATAGCACCTTTTACCCGACTAAAATATAGAAACATACGCGCGATGAGATTACTGAAAGAAGTTTCATCTCTTATTGTCTTGGATAAGTGCTCAAGGTGTACTAGGTTGGAGCACCACATCATTGGTTAATAAACATTATCAATAGAAATAGGTGAAAAAGTTGGAACAAAAATAGTAGAACAAATACGATGGATAGTATTCAAGAGAGACTCAGGAGGTAAAGATAGAACCACTATATCAGAAGTACAAACCCAATTTCAAGAACATGGCTATATTTCCAATTCAAGGTCCTCGAATACCTGCGAGAAAATGCCGAAGAGTTACGAAGCTCAATGATGAAATCACAAAACATGTACCGGATCAAAAGTAGATACTTGGGTTGAAAAAAAAAAACACCAAAAAAATCTGTCAAGTGGATCATCACTAGACGTGTGCAGCTCTTTGTAGGATTTCAGCGTTATTCACAGTATCCCTAAAATCAGACCCCATATTGGTGACACACAGTACCATCATACCTCCCATACCGCGCTACTTATCACATCGCGTAGTACCATGCACCACACTATAGGCCATATTCATATTTCATCATTCCCCATGAAACATGCCCGCTCTCACGTTAGATAGAATGTCCTGTATAATTATACACCATTCTTTTTGAGGTCATATTCATCTTTCACTATTCATCAGACCACTGGCTCATACTTATCATATCTGATAACCACGCACCATCATCCTTACCATATCTGATGACGACTTACCATATCTGATTACCACATCCCAGATCAGACAACCCCTCACCTTCTGCCCCTCACCCTCATCATTCCACCACATCTCCTACATACATTCTCCTTAAAAACACCGGGTGCCTTGATAGGCGTACTACACCACTAATATCTCCACAGCCGGCAGTGCACGTGACCGGCCGCGTCGCGTCCATCTCCAGGCGCGCTGCAAATCCAAGATTCACAGATCTACCCGCTGACTTTCTTCTCCTGGCACGCCAGAAAGGACCACAAACCCCCAAAAAACAAGTGGCACCAAACAAAAAAAAAACCAGATGTCATCCCCGGACGCGTATGCAGACGACGCGGAGCTCGCGGATTTCATTGTGGACGACGACGCCACGGGGCCGGAGGGGTCACGTGACCCCCGGCTGGCGCCGCCCCCGAGCGGGCGTTTTGCGCCGGAAAACAACGGCACGCTGCCGTTTACTGCCCCCCACGGTGGCTCCGATGGACCCGCGCTGCCTGGTTTGCCCGGGGCGCCCGCCACCCCGGATCCGCGGCGGCTCCTACGCGCCCACATCTCGATCCTAGTGTCGGCGCTAGGGGGCCCCGACCACTCGGCGCAAAACGGCGCCTACAAGCTCGGGCACGACGCGCTCGCGTGCCTCAAGGACTTGAAGCGCTGGCTCCGCGCCGTGGACGAGAAAAACGGCACCGCGGACGTGGCGTTGGCGTGTGCCGACTGCGACCTCGTGAGGAACGACCTCGTGGTCATTCTCTGCCAGGGCGACCGGCCTCACAAGGGCACCGTGCGCCTGCGGGCGGCAGAGAAGATCCTGCTTGCGTGCTTGGAGCTCTTGGTGTTGCTCACGTGGCCCACGGACGTGACGCGCGACACCCCCATGGCCGACTACACGGCCCGGACCAGCGTGCGCCGCGCCCAGGTGGCCTACAAACACCACGTGCTCACGTACCGCCAGGGCCGCACGCTCAAGGCCGTGTTGCGCCTCGGGCTCGGCGCGTTGCGCGTCCCCAAGGCCGAGCGCGAGCCGCGCGACCTCGCCATCTTGCGCCTCATCCTCTACTTCATCCGCAACATGCTCTACATCGAGCCGTTGCCCGCCACCAGAGGCCCGCAGACGGTCGGCAACGCGTCGGCACTTCCGGCGGGCGTCGGCGCAGACGAAATCGCGCTCCCGGCCGTGGTGCAGGCGTTCGAGCGCAACAACGTGTTGCTTTTCCTCAACTCCATCGCGCACTCGGTGCTGCGCGACATCAGCGACGAGACCTTCGGGCTCTTGGCCATGGAGTGCCTCTGCTTGCTCACGCGCGGCGTGCGTGTGGCGGACTTGACGCCGTTCGCGGCCCCGGCCCCGGCCGTGCCCAATTGCGCCGAGGCCGTGCCGCCCGCCTCCGCCGTGGCAGGCATGGACCTCAGCGCCCTCTTGGGCGAGGAGCTGCGCCGCCAGAAACACGCGCGCAACGCCATGCTGACGCGCCACGGCCGCTTTGGCACGCTCCTCTCGCTCCGCAACCTGGGCAACGCGTCCTACTTCGCCGTGTCGGGCCAGAAGGCCCTCGCCAGCACCTACGACACCTTGGAGAAGTTGGACTCCGCCAAGAGCTGGCACCGCCCGTCTGCGTTCCGCTACGACTCCAACGCGTACGTGCGAAGCCCGCCGGCTCCCTTGGGCGCGGCCGCCGCAGCACTGCTCGCGCGGTTTGTGGGCCAATTGCTTGCCAGCGGCTCGTTCAACAACTTGCTCACTTTTGTGGGCCGCCACTTGACCAACCTCGCCAACGACCGCGACGCGGGCCGCCGCGGAATTCTTGACGCCGTGGACCCTATGGAGCTCTCGTCGTATTTCTTGACCATGGCGTGGTTTTTCCGCTTCAAGCGCGAGCGGACCCAGGCTTTTGCCGCAGCCCACACGCAGCCGGCACCCGACGAAGACGGCGTGGACTATGGCTCCGTGGGCGCGGCGTTGAGCGAAACCAACTTCATTCTCTTGATCTCGTACCTCCGCCTGGCGTTCGAGGCCAAGGACCACGACTCCTTGCATGTGGCCATGCTTTGTTTTCGCGAAATGCTCTTGCTCTCCAACAGCGTGTTCACCAAAAAGCGCACGCAGCAGGAACTTGACCTCGTCTCCGCGGACGACATTGACGAGGACAGGGAGCTTGCAGAGGGAATCATCCGCAAGTTGTTCTCTCAGAAACAATTCTTGGACATGTGTGTGAATATTCCCAAGACTGCGGCAAAGCACTCCCCGGAGTATCTTGGCGTGGTTGTCTCTGTGGTGCACATTCTCCTCAAGAGCTTCGAGGCCTTGGCCAACGAAGACGTACACTTGTTCATCAAGACACGACGCAAAATGAGGAAAATGGAACGTCCCCCAGGTCTAAACCACGAGATGGACCAGCAGCACTGGGACTTGATCGACAGAGGCTCGGACGAAGAGGAAGACCAGGACCAAATCCGCTACATCACCCAAGAGCGCAAGTTGGACCTTAGGAGCATCGAGGTCAAGTTCTTTCACCCGGAAACGGTATCCACGCACATAGAGTATTTGTCCAAATACGAGGATCTTACCAGTGAGGAAATCAAGCGGGGTTTGTCCTTTTTTCATCGCCTTTTCGTTGTGCGTAAAGACTACTCGGCCTTATACCGTATGGATTTCATGCTCATCTTATACAAGCTTCAGGCGTATCTCCCGAGATCCTCTAGCAATTCTCGCCACGTTAACGATTTTATCGTTTATTTCATGAAGAAGTTTAAGGTTGCTTTGGACAGATTTCCTACTGCCATCGAAGTTCTTTTTCCCAGATTAGAGAATTTGGAATTGAAAGGCTTTTTGAATACTGGCGACTTGCAAGTTCTTGAAAAGCTGAGCAAAACCAATCCCGGAGGTGCAGCCAACAAGAATAGTTACTTTGATGAGGATGCCGTTCAACCGCGTGCGGCTCCTCTAGTTCAATTCAACGACGAATCCCTCTCTCTTGACGAAAAAATAGGGATTTTGGTTTACCACCTTTCAAAAAGAAAAAACACCACCGCATTCATGAAGTATTTTGCAACTGAAATGCTCAGGATCTCTGAAATCACCCCTGGTCAACGGGAAACGGTAACTCTCCGTCTCAATCTCGCAAAAAGAAGGCTCTTGATCTCAGACCCGCATCTAAGGCTCTTGCTCGAAACAATTGGATTTGGTTTGCCGTATCTTCAAAATGATGAGACAACCCTTCATGAATCAGTGACGGCTGAGCTTTTGAAAGACGCCGTTGAATCATTAAACAAGTGGCTCAGTTTGCACGAGGGAGGAGTAGGAGATATTGAGCCGTTCTTGGACCAATTTCAGCGCATGTTCTTCTCGAAGGAACAGCTTGATTTCGGAGCACAATCGCTCGCAGATCTCCGTGCGGGAAAATCCTTTGACGATGCCAAAGCCGCAGAGCTAGAGTTGGACGAAAGACATATTCACAAGGTGATTGGTTTGGCAAAGAGGAGGGAATATGATGAAAACGTCAGTTCTCGTTTCTACGAGGATGATGAGTTTGAGGATCAGTCATCTAATTCTGCTTCCGATGATGAAGAGGTTCAGAAAAATGTCAGAAAGCGGAAGCGCAGCAGACGACAAATAGACAGTGGCCATGAGATGTCTTTACCTGACGATGACGTTCCTTCACTGCGTCGCCGCAAAGGAGAAAGATCAGTTCCTCGAGAAGTCTTTTCTGATGACGAAGTAGCTGCTACAAAGTCAGCTGAATTGGTTCACGATTCTGATGATGATTCTGACGAAGAGCGCAACACTGCTTTTTTCGAGAAGGAAGAGAAGCTTCGGCAATTAATATCTCTGACCGGTGGAATATCTAGTAAAGAGCAGCTATCTTTGTTCAAAGAGTCGTGGACCACGATTCTCAAGTCCGGGAGCGGAGACCGCGTGAATGAGGCGATGAAGATGGCTTCTAGTTTGTTCGTTGAAGACCTGGATGATGAAGAGCTCTCTCTGACGCGAAAGCCTTTTCAAACCAGATCAAGTTTCTCCCCAGATGCCACATCATTGAACTCCAGACCAAACAATACCACGTATACACGTGGTGAAGAAGATGAGCTGTTGGGCGAAGACGAAAATAGAATGCCAAGCGATGACGAAAACAAGACGAATAGCGGAGGAAACAAGAAGCTACAAAGTGACGATGAGAATGAGAACCATGTGCCTAGAAAGCGAAGGGCGATTATTGATGATGACGATGATGAATGATGAATGATCTAGATAGTAAGGCGCGTCTTTAGAGGCTCAGCCGCTAACGCAGTGTGATTCGCTCCCGCTGTTTTCCATGCTGTCCCTCATAGTCATATAAGAACTAATGACCATGACGGAAACTCCGAATATTGTACATAAAATGCAAGGGAGAGCCTTGAGCAAAACAAACCGTGACTTTTCGCCCCGCGAAGACAGCTTGATGTCGAAGCTATCCCATGAAAGTTTGAGGTAACAGAGGGGTGGAATGATGTATGCCATCAAAGATGCAGAAGTCGCGCCGATGAGCTCGAGAATCATACCCAAGTTACATGTGAATAAGGAAACAGACATAGATGAGAACACAAGCACTGTGGTGATAATGAAATGTTGTTTGTTGGAGAGTTCTAGGTGGGCTGTGCTTCCAGAGCTGGAGGTCAGACTGTGTGCCATAACAATGTCTTTCAACACGTCTCTAACGACAAATATCTCGAGCGGAAATGTTGTGAGCATATTAAGGCCAAAACAAAAACGTGCCACATTGATCCAGGTATCGTCGCTGCGAAAATTGTTCAATATATTGCCCTTGATATTGGGGCCAAAGTTTAAGAGACCTGGGACACCCATAAGAAGACAGAAGCACATGGAGATTCCACATGCCCAGTGAGTCAAAGTAGCAAATGACTTGGTGGATGCATTTTTCATGGACTGGTAGATGAATAACGTGTTGTGATGGCACACAAGAGCAAACGAGATCACCGATATTCCCTGAAAGAGATTCTTATTCACGAATTTCTCCAGCGCAGTTAGTGGTGCCTTGAGTGAAGCATCCACAAATGGGCCTCTGACGACAGTGATGACAACAATGATGGCCATACCCACAAGGGCGAACCCAGAGGCCTTGGCCAATTTGGAAATATCCCGATTTAACGAAAGTGGGTACGAAATGCACGAGGTAAACACCACGATTATCACATTCCGCTCGAAAATCCAGCCAATCACTGAGGTCTCTGTGCTAGTGATGGACTTTGGAAGCATCAGTGTGAGAACATGCGGAATGGTATCGCCGATGATGATGCAAAATGCCATACATCCACCGTAAGCAAAAGAGCTGATGGTGGCCAAAAGTAAGAATCTTCCTGCACGGCCATAACAGAAATTTACAGTATCTTGATATGACCGTGTTTGCGAGAGCTGGGCATTCACTACGATAAGCCTGAGTGTCCAGTCGATAAGAAAAGTCAACAATATCATAACCAATATTCCGCCTAGAAGCCCGGCATTTTTCATCGCCAACGGCTGCCCTATAATCCCTGCACCTAGAATCGAGTTGGCCATATTCATAAACGCCATACGCATACTGGAGGTGCCTGGGCTTGGTGTGTTTTGGGCCTCTTCGTCATCACTGATATCGCCAATATGGAACTCGTCCAAATCGTCCTCTGAGTGCGCTAGGCTGCCTAATCGGGAACCATTTCCGGCCACGTTTGGCAGCGTGTCATCGCCATTTTTTATTATAAGTTCATGGCTTGTTTTAGGCTCGCTAGACCCTTCCTGCGATAGCTTCTGATAGACACCTGGCGGCATTTTAATGTATAGATTGACAGTTTTGCCCGAGATCTGCACCCCGCAACAACTCGCTTTATCTGTGGTGCACGGATGTTTGGTGTGGCGACGAAGCAATAAGCGAACAATATTGAATTTTGACGCTGTACTTAAGCCTGTTTTAGAGATAGTTCTGCTTCCTAAAGCTCTCACTCTAAGTATTCTTCCTTTATTAAAAAGGATTGGGGAAATGAACTTCTGTATTTATGCGGTGTTATTTTGGGTTTTCGATTAAAAGTGCGAAAGACAGATTAAATATAAAAGGAAAAGAATGAAGTACATTCAATTTGGAAGTCCCAAATTTTGTAAGATCGTTAGTGAAAGTCTTGATCCTTGCTGATACTAATTTTTATTATTGGGCGAATACAAAACATATAAGCCTTGTTGAATGAGTTTGATGGTGTGTTATTGTATCTATGACTGTACGATCTCGGCATAAGGCATGAGTTTCATGATCTTGGGCTACCAACTTTTCAAATGAGCTGCAGGCTAAAGCTTTCGATTTTTTTTACAGTTGCAGGAAGTAGTGGCCTCTTAACAAATAAATATAATGATTGAGTATTCTCGGCCAAAAACGGGTTTGGAGACTTGGACACATTTTTGATCGCCAATGTCAATTCAAACAAAGTGTAGGAGTCACCAGACACTCAGCAAAGACAGCTCTTGGATATTGTTGCAATATATCCCCCCTTTATCTATAGGGCTAGTTCTGGGTCTTGCAATCGCATGAGTCGTTTCTAAGTGAGCAGATTATTTATCACAAGTTCAGAAACATCAGTATTTCTCATCAGATGTGATCTCTCATATCTTCATCTGAAAAGAATTGTCAGGAAGAGATACAATACAATCTCAAGGTCTGACCTCACACTATTTTCTGCTGAAATCGTCTGTTTGATGCGCTTGATAGCGTACAGATTCTGGTACTCAGACAAATATCATAATGGGCAGCGAGAGAACACAGAAAAGAACAATTTTTAAATACGTCACTTAAATATTGCCTCATACTTTTCTTCAGAAGCTGAATCATGTCTTGACACCTGGTATCTTTCGAGAGAGGCCATGTTCCAGATAAAGGTCACCTCAGAATCAGCATTAGAAAAGAGAGAAGAAAGAGTAATGAGTAAGATAAATGTTTTAATGTTTGCTTTTTCTGGTTACACACCTCCGTTTGGCTGAAATATACATGCTTCAACATATCGCGGGGTACTATCACCCTCCATTAAGAACTTTTTCTACAAGAACATTCTACAAAACACTTAATTTTTGCGGACCAGAAAATATTCACACCGAGGTGGTTTATACGTAAGCACGTAAATAAACAAAACAAGACTCACATTTTCTTTTGGGGAGTTTATAGGCTCGAGGGGCAAGTTTTTTAATTAGTCTTTATCATGAGATCGAAACAAGTTTCAATAATATGAGACTGTTTGACGTTCAAAGGTCCTGTAGCCTGGAACGAGCATGACACATGTGTCAATTTTCACGTCGAGGATGCGATGAGAAGAGACACTCATGCAGAAAGTCAAAGTACTGGAGTCTTTTAAAATCTTTCTTACGAAATTGGCGCAGGGATATATTCAGCCACCAACTAAGAAACCAAACGGGCCAAGGTCACCAGTAGATGATGTTTGGTGTATTGATGCAATTAATAGACATGATAAGGGGAGCAAATAGACATGGTAAGCAATCTATTGATTTTATAGGGAATGAGCATGTGTGAAATGGAGCCCAGTCCATGTCTACAGAATAAGACTATTAATCATGCTTAGTCTTTCAGACTCGCAGAAAATGACCGCACATAATCTCATGTCTCCCAACAAGGCCAGTCATTGGAACAAGCCAGAAAGCCCTTGATTTTCGACCGAAAAGCCCGATGGTTTCTTAAAGCTCATTTTTACATTCGACGAATCAACCTTTTCTTTTCTACCACAAATGTATGTCTCAGAATCCAGACATTGAACTTGCGCCCGCAGGATCCTGGGTATGTGCACACCATGGAGCGATGCTCATCTCCACCCAGAGAATATCATCAGATCTCACAGTTCCTCCCCACAGACACACACAAAGCATGGCCCAAGAAAAAAGAAAACCCTTCAAGGGCAAGAAGCTCCACAAGGATCTTCGCGACTATAAGAACCAGGAGATCAAGCGGTCCTTGGTGCATCGTGCTCGGTTGCGGAAAAGCTATTTCAAGCTTTTGGAAAAAGAAGGTATTCCGGCAGGCCAGGAATACCCGGGCCTGGCAAGTGCTGCCGAGGAAGACCCAAGGAAAGGCGCACGCGATGACCGCCATGCAAAAACAGACGGCTCGAGTGACGACGAGTCGGGTTCCAATGAGGAAGGAGGGGTCGAACAGGCCGACACGGATGCGGTTTCTTCCAGCAGAAAGCGCCACGGCGCCCCCTTGCCGCCACAACAAGACCTCCCCAAGAAAATCGAGGCGCCGCCCAAGAGAAAACAGTTGAATTTCGCCGAAAGGGCCAAATTGGCGCGCGAGAGGAAGGAGCAGAAACGCGAGGACGAGCTCCGAAGAGTCCAGGAACGGAGACAGAAAATCGAACAGAGCCAGAAGGATCGCGAGAAGAAGAAACTCAGTTTGCAGCAGCGCACGCGGCGCGGGCAGCCTGTCATGGGGCCCAAGATCAGTGATTTGTTGGACAAAATCAGACACAACGGCTGATGGCCGAGAAATGGGAACGTCGGGGCTTGGCGGCTGGGCACGTGACTACATGAGGCTCAAGTCCGGCACTGGGCTGCTGAAGGTGAAGGTTGGCAGCTTGAGCTCGCAGGACTGGGAAATCGAGCTGTAAGCCGGTTGCTTGGACTGTTCAAACTGGGGCTGTTAAAACTAGGATGATACAGACGGGCGAAGAGCGCTGAACCGGGCAGTCCGCGGCCGTGCGCACTCCCCACTGAATGACAAGAACTAGCATGGTCCCAAAAGTAATTAGACTTGTGTGAATGGCGTGGCAGATCCTGGGATGTGACAACGAGCGCTGATGAGATTAGTATAGACAGCCCGCCGTCTTTCGCAGGATAAATACATACCATCTATGGGTGAGAACGAAAGCATCATTCCCGACGGAGTCTGGCTTCGTCTCTGGTTCGTGGGGATGAGGAGTCCATCACCAGTCTCACTGCCCCAAAGCGAGGGTTCGGGAGTGGCAGGCCAGGGACGGGCGTGCCGCCCAAGACCCGCGCGTCCTATGGATATTTACAAGTGTCCGCTCAAGCACGGACGATGTTCCTGACGAACACGGCCGCGTCGAGAAAGTACAATGAGCATAGTCTCTTCCGGTAGGCGAGCCACGCGGCCACGGTGCCCTTCATGCGCGCCCACGAGTACGCGGCGGAAGCCCTGCCGACGGCGTCCACGGCCTCGCGGTACACGACGCTGGCGCAGTAGTTTGCCAAGATCAAGAACGTGCGCTCCGGGCCCAACGGGTGGTTCAAGGTTTCGTCGAGGTTGCGCGTGAGGTCGTTTGTCTTGAGGATCAACAAGACCATGCGCGGCATGCTGGCCAAGATGGCCATCAAGTCCTCGAGCACCTCCGGGGTGTTGAGCTGGGTCTGGATGTTCAAGAGCTCCTTGTCGTCGCGGGCCTTGGAGATGTCGTAGTTGAGCACACTGTCCGGGTCGCGCCCCGTGATGGCGGAGGCGAAGATGCGGAACTTCTGGTCGCCCAGCACGCCCGAGAACTTCTCCACGTAGTGCTTCATGCGCGGCACGTCGTTGTCCAAGATGGCGAGCCAGAAGTGCGCGTAGTCGCGCTGCATCTGCAACGGGATGTAGCGGTACAAGCCGTGGTCGTAGAGCACGATCTCGAAGTTGCGGCCGGTGGTGCTGGAGCGCGGGTCCGCGGCGCGGATGGCCAAGTTGCCGAGGTGCGGGTCGCAGTGCAAGCCGAAGCCCGGCGAGAAGATCATGGAGTTGAAGACGTGCGAGAGGCACGCCAGCACGTCGCGCGTGCGGATGCCGTGCTTCTCCATGTAGGCCAAGTCGTCGAGGCGGGCGCCCGCCACGTACTCCATGACCAAGACGCGTTTCTCGGCCGACACGACGGCCGGCACGCGCAACGCGGTGCGGCGCCGGAGCGGCGCGAACTGCGCCGCGGTCCTCTGCGCGTTGGCGGCCTCGTTGGTGAAGTCGAGCTCCACGTAGATGGAGTTCTGGAGCTCGTCCGCGAGCCACGCCATGGGGTACTCGGGGAACACGCGGTTCATGAGCCCAAACACGGTCCGCGTCATGTACACGTCCAAGGGCACGAAGCGCGCGAGCAGCGGGTGCTGCACCTTGACGGCCACGCGCTCGCCCGTGGCCCGGAGCGTGGCGATGTGCACCTGCGCCAAGGACGCCACGCCCACGGGCTGCGGGTCGAAGTCGCTGAAGTACTCGGCGAGCGGCACGCCCATGTCCTGGCGGAACATCAGCTCGATCTCCGCGAGCGACAGCCGCGGGCACCGGTCCTGGAGCGGCGTCATGGTCTCCGTCCACTGCGGCGGGAGGAGGTACGTCAACGCGGACACGTGCTGGCCCAACTTGATGTAGATGCCGCCGTTTTCCTCGAGCGCACGCAACGCCACGCGCGCCGCGGCCAAGTGGGCCTCCGCGAGCGCCGCGTGCCGCCCGGCGGCGTCGCCGCCGAAATCGGCGCCGAGCACGTGGCGGTAGATCTGGAAACAGCGCGCCGTGGCCACCGCCACCACGGAAACGCGCCTGGCCGCGTCGTACACGTGGCGGGCCCCGTCGTGCATGGTGTCGTTGGAAACGCAGAGCGCGGCGCCAATCACCGGCACGGCCACGGCCACTTTCGGCCACGTTCGGGTGGTTTTGTGTGGCGCCGGGCGGGCGGCTAGGCGCCGCGTGTGGCCGCCGCGGGCAGCGGGCCGGAAAACACGCGGAAACATAATTCCGGGGCCTGGGGTGGAAATGCGGGGTAGGGGAAAAAGGGGGCCTGCGCTGGGGGGGATTGGCGCCTGTTGTGGTTGGTTTTGGGACGGCTGTCAAAGGAAAAGAAGTGGTTGCAAGGCGCCGAGGGGGGACCACGCGCCCCAGGGCACGTGACTGTCGCCACCGCACTGTGTGCAGGCCGATTTCGGTGGGAGATGGGGGTGGGAGATGATAGGTGGGGGAGAATGAAGGATATAAATTGAGCTATTAAAATATAAAACATTGAGAAATCAGATTTAAAGTTTTGGTGTGAAGTAAGAGATTTTGACTATTTCGAAGATTTTTTAGCATTGAGCAAAATGATTCTTATATTCCCCTGGGCAATATAGAGTGGATGTTACCGCGTATTATTCTATCACTTGCACAATTCTTAATGTATTGGTGATCAGGTCAGTAAGAACCGGGTTTCAGTCTTTTTGAAGTTATCGTCTGTTGACTCTTTGTACCGACACGTTGGAGTGATGCTCGAACATTAAAAGCTCTTATGGTTTGTATATCAGCGGAATATTGTACTTTGAGAACAAGAGCTCAACTGAGAAGAAATGGGACGTAGGACATAAGAGCAAATCGAACAAGCTACTAAATAGCACACGTTTGAATATTTATCTAATTTTAAAAGATTTGATTAACTTCATATAACCGGAGTGAAGGTGAAGATGGAGGTGAGATCTGAGATTGGGAATTGGAAGATGCGTGGCGCCAAACGGAGCAGATATATAAAGTGCCATTCTCTGAATAGCCACTGTGCTGCGAAAGGCATCGTCCTTTTTAGTGGTACGACTATACAGTGATCTATACAGTGATACAACTATACAGTGATCTATACAGTGATACAACTATACAGTGATACAAACCACTGGAATATAGTTTTACTTGATGATGCAACCTACTGTAGGGATGTATTTTATTTGACATGGAAATGCAGTAAGTTGTCGGCATTCCAGTACTGCATTAGAATTACATGGGCTCATTAGCAGTACAGTGGAAATAGTGGCAATTAAGTGGCAATAAATAAGCAGAGTGGCAATAAAGGCCCAATAAACAAGCCGAGTGGCATCAAAGACGCAATAGATAAGCAGCAGCGCAATACAGGAGAATCATCAAACACGCCGCTGAATACCCCATGAACTCACCAAAAGCTCCGATCTGTGACTCACTATACAAATCCGCGTCGCACATACTGGAGTCTCAATAATTACACCGAGATAATCACTGATGTTCCCGGTAGCCGCAGTCTAGGCCCCTCTGTTAGATGCAGAGGGCTCTGACTCCTGCGAACGACGTAGCCTACTGTATAGACATGGTTTAGTCTGCTTTTTACCACTGCTTCCCAACAGAGAGTATGCTGATGGAACGACCTCATTCTTCAAAGAACGCACGATACGTCTAGTAATATATACATGAAACTAAAAGAGACGCCGGAAATGGAAGTGAAGACGGGCTCGTATTGTGCAAGTCACACACCCAAGAACACCCCCAAACCCATTGAAAGTAGCAGATTCCCCAAATTAAATACAGAACGACTGCTGTGATCTACATCCATCCCATAGATAGAAACATCCATCCCATAGTTAGAAACCTTGACAGCTGGAATACGCTTCCATGTCTAGTAAACTGAGTTGTTGAAAAAGATGCTGAATATACTACGCCGACATATTCACCGGTTGCGTATGCGGACTGTGCAAGCCACATCCAAGTTGGATGTCTCTAGACTGATAACAAATGATCATATGATCATCGACACAGACTCAAAACACGGGCCACCTACACCGGCTCATCACACTCGGAGGTTTTCAAGTGGAAACCAATTAGAGAATTTGCGAGCATATCTACTTTTTGACAAGTTAAAAACCACACCATGCCCGTCACATCATATAAAACAGACACAAAGCTCAATGCACTTTTGCCCCCAGGTCTCGGCGTCCCTCCCAGTCTGTTCCCAGCTCAATGGTTCCATACAACAAATTCACTTCTCTCCACAGGAAGAATACTTAATTAGGACTTTTACCTTTGCAGAATCTGTCTCACGAGCTCCGAAGCAAAGAAAGGTCAATGCGTGTTGAGCTCTCGCCAACTGAGATAGAGGAATGGGCTATATTCAAGTCATAGGCACTTACAAGTACTTAAGTCCTGCAAAAGCAGAACATTAGTCTAGCATGTGGACGCAGGATTCTTTTGTTTCACATGAACAGAAGGCTCGGTCGTACTAAGTAGATTTTGTCACGGGACTTTATTTTATCAGCCCATTGGCTGTTGCCACCCTGGGTGTTTTTCTAAATCAGCGTAAGTCGTTTTGAAAAATGACGAAAGGCAAAAGTCTATCATTCGGCAACTCGGGCGGCGCAGCAAAACAGAACTAGTCACAATGCAACTTCAATCCAGAATCTCTCATGGAATTTAAGATCAATTCGATAAATCTTTGGGCGGACCAGATGCCCAAGGGCTATCGGGAGTGAAAAGCAAAACCCTCAGGCGAAGCCGTGGGGTTAGCTAAATAGTCAGAATTTATCATAGTCTTGTAATTAGACTAAAATAAAATACCCGGGCTCAGAGACCAAAAACATGTTTTTGGGCCCGAATATCTTCTTAAACCATCAAGATTAGATTCAAATAGCAATACTCTCCGTACATTTAGAAGTTTACGGCTGCGAAAGGGCAAGGGTACTTATAATACCCCCTCATTTTCCAAAGATATCAAAGAAGCTAGCAGAATCCAGTCCCGCAATTCAACCATGAGCTACGGCGGATATCAAGATGAATTATTATTGCTTTGGTCGGGGTCAGAGCTGGTATTCCCCAAATTAAGTTATGAGCTCGACGTCTGACCAAACGCGAACGTCATTCGTTTCCACCACAGCTTGGTCATAAGTAGTTTATTACCATGCTTCCACTAATTTCCTTTTCTGGCCATCAAAGCTGACACTCTAGGGGAACCGTGCCTTCAGAAAGTTTGCCGATATCTTGCTCACTCATCAATGTTTTGATTGCCGTAGCCACGTGTTAAGAACTGGCAGACACGTTAGTGAGTCATTCCAAAATCAAAAATCTGAGACCCGATGTTAATACTTGGGAAAACGGAGGATTTTGGTCACTGTATACTCTGATTGAGCCTTGCTGACTTGTTCTTCTCTGATTTTTCGGCGAAGGCTCGAGGAGCCGGCTCGGTTAAATATCCACCAAAAACTTTCACAATGCTCTGGATAGTCAGCTTTGTTTTTGACACAAACGTCAAACAATTTGTGAAGTGAAACCATGAATTATGGATTCTGAAAGTCAGTGAGTATACGAGAATTATTGGTGCAACTCTTTCTTCTCTTCACTTAATAATAGGGTAGGTCCGCTTGCAATCAAATGACATTTCTAGCATAAAACTTGATGTTTACCCAGGCGAGCCTAGATCATTGCGGTCAGATTGGAAAACATTGAAAGACGTTCGGTGTTTGCTTAGAACAGTAGCCAGTACATACTCCGGGCTTCCTGCTACTTTTTCAGCTATCAATCCCAGACCCAGCTTCACTGACAACAACCAACTGCATTAAAAGTGTCCAAAGACTGGTACTTTATATTTTGAAAATAAGGCTATGCGATTTCATTTGTAAATAGACCTAAAAACCAACGTTCCTAGCACCCAGAAACCATAAAGCCACGTGCTTCTGAGCTTCGCATACACCGGGAAAACTCCTGGCGACCCCCTCGGTGGAAGCTTTTTGAAAATACACATTCTTAAATGGTGGACTCGACGCAGAGCCAAGAATCGAGCAATGCCCTCAGGTTTCTCTGGGCTGTGTACGGTGGGGCTCAAGCCCAGATTTCCTGATACCTTTGGGGGGCCATTCCGAAACGCTGGCTGCGTATAAGCCAGCAAGGAAGGTGAAGATCATCAATTTCTTGAAATTAGCACAAAACATGAGACACAGATTTCGGCACGAGGGAAAGACAGGGAGGCCCGAGGCAGAAGTTTTTTCCTCTGACGGGAAAACGTGGAAGGAAGTCCTGCACTAGCTGATAGTCTAACCGAATTGCCATTTGCTGGAATAAGCGGCTGAACAATGGAACAAGATACCAAAAGATGCGAACTTGTGTTTAGCCCCGCGCGCATTTGCACGATCACGAGTTGGGGCAAGAAAGGAAACCCGGGACGTCATGGAAGAATGAAGCAATGAGAGCAGGGAAAGAAGACGGAGTTTCCAGGGAGTATCTGCTTAATACCCTGTTGGGAAAGCCGAATTGAAACCATCTTATTTCCACAAATGTGCCGCGAGTTGCGTCTTTCGCCGCCATAGTAGCCCCAATCATACCTTACTGGAATAAGCCCTCAATCAACGGATTGGTGAAGTCTCCGCCATTGAGCTGAACCATGAGGTTTTCGTCCTCCATCATGTCGAAATTGAAGTCAGGCAAGCTTTCCCAGTCCATGTCCAAAAAGGAGCCCTGAGGCAAAGTGTCACTGTCTATTTCTGGCTGAGCCATGACGGAGCTGGGGGCCGGGACCGGCGATGGCGAGGGCACACAGAGCGGCGGCGTGTACTTTGCATGCCTGCCCATCAATAGGCTTCCTGTGTCTCTGCGTGTGTCCTGGAGAGCGTCAGGGTTCGGCCCGTGTGTCCATTTCCGCTTGCGCCGCCGCTCGTTGTTTTCCAAGGCCGGCGTGGACTTGGAACTCGAGGTGCCCATTGCCCCATAAGGGCACTTCCCTGCCTGCAGAGAGAAGTCCCTGGCCATTGGGCCAGCAAGACTTGGTCTCGGTTCTTCCAGATGTGGCTCTATCTTGACGTCTTTAAGAGGAGACATGAATCCGGAGGAGGCCCCAGAAACAGGGCACCCGGGCGATGCGGACACTCTGGAGTTGGACGTTCTGCCTGCGCTGGTATGAAAAACAGGGCACCTCGATAGTTCCATGCGGGTGGCAGACGTCTCGTACCCACTGCTGGACATGATGGGGCACTTGTCCAAAATCCTGCCTGCGCCGAGGGCCTCGGCGTGGAGCCTGGCGTACGACGCAGGGTTCATTTTGTGCGAGTTGCGGATGAAGGTCTGGTAGAACTTCCAGATCTTGGTGCGGTGCCTCGCAGACTCGCGCCCCATCTTGGCCTCCAAGATCTCCACGGTGCGGTCGACCTCGCGGATCACCTGCTCCTTCTTTTCCACGGGGATGGTGATGGCCGAGGAGGCCAGGCCACATGATCTCGCGGCGGAGTAGACCAAGACACGCGGGCCCTGGAGGGAGGCCGCGGCGCCGGCCGCTTTGGGCTCAGGCTTGAACCTGATGAGGAGCCCCGATACGAGGTGCGAGAGGCGGGCCAAGTTTTCCGCCACCACAGCCCACACGTACGCGGCGTGGGCATCTTCGGCGAGGCCCAAGGCGCTGGCTTGCCAGAACAGGTTGATGGCGAGGAACTTGTCGAAAAGCAAGGGGACAAGCCTGGCGGTGGCGTCGGTGTTGGCGGTCTCCTCGAACTGGAGGAACACGACGGCCGAGAAGAAGAACTCCAAGTAGTGGAGCATGGTCAAGGTCTCGACTCTGCGCACGGGCCGGATATTGGCGAGGTCCGCGCAGGAGCAGCGGGCCGAAAGCTCTGTGGCAACCAGCAGGAAGCTGGCCACGGCCACGCCGCCGTCCGAGAAGTGTCTGTGGATGCCGTTGCGGAGCAAGAAGGACGCGCGGCTGATCACATGCTGCAGCTGGATGGAGGCAATCAACTCGGCGATCTGGCCAGACGGAGCTCTTTCCTGGACGCTGGCGAGGTAGGCCACGTGCCAGTTGGCGGCCTCGACTTCGGGCACAGTGGCGAGGAAGGTGGCCAAGAGCGCGTCGATGGGTGAGCCGTGCTTGGCGAACGGCAAGAGGTGGAAGGACACGTTGTTGACCAAGCGCAAGAGGTCGTGCCAGAGCCGGCAGAACAAGACGCCGGTGTCCGGGCGCAGGGCCAGCAGGGCCGACAGAGCGCCGGGCGATGCGGGGGTCTGGAGCTGCACTTGGGCCGGATCACACCACACCTGCAACGGCTGGCCCTGCTTGTTGAGTGTCTGCAAGAGAAGCACGAGCACCTGGGTGAACGCGTCACGCGTGTCGAGCTGCGGGTCCTTTCGCTCGTGGAGCAAGCAGAGCCTGTTGAGGAGCGCCACCATCAACGCGAGCACCGCCACCAGGCTGTCCATGTCGTCGAGCGGGCCCAGCGGGCGCAACACGGCGCGGAGAAGCGCGAGCACGTGGCGCAAGAGTGGCGGGGAGCGCCCGGAGGAAGGTGCGCTGGCGGGCGGCGGCGGGAAAAGCGCCCGGAACTCGCTGGCCGTGGCTGCGGGCACATGTCCCTGCAGGCCAAGCAGGTCCATGGTCTCCTCCACCACAAGCGCTAGCATGCACAAGTACACGGCCTTGGAGCGGAGCAGGCCGAGCACGGCGCCGTCGGACATGGCCGGGCCGAACGGGCCCACGTTGAGGCGGGCGTCGGCGCCGGTGCCCGAGAACAACGCGCGGATCTCGGGCCAGAAGTACCGCACCAAGCCCGGCGACTCCGCGGGGGTTTGCGGCGGCCCCGGCGCGTCCATGTAGTGGCGCACGAGGAACGAGAGGTGGGCGGCGCCCATGGGGGGCCCACGGCCCTGCGCCACGACGGCGGCCCACGTGTTCTGGAGCACGCCGAGCAACCGCAAGGCGTCGTCGTTGTCATTGTCGGTGCCGCAGCCGCTGTCGGCGCCGGCTGCCGCCGGTTCTGGCAGCTCCGACTGCTCGAGCATGTGGTTGAATTCACACGCCACGACCGGGCACTGGTGGTGGCCGCAGGCGGTATTTTCCGAGCAGCCGGCCGAGGCCGTCCGCACCATGGCGAGCAGCAGCAGCAGCAGCAGCAGCAGCAGCAGCAGAAGCAGCGGTATCAGGGGCGGCGGGTTCCTGAGGAGCGCGGTTTTGTAGAGGTGGTAAGTTTTCTGGAGGCTGGTGATGCGGAACCAGAGTGCTGTGAGCTGCGGGTCGATTTTGATGATGTTGAGCCACGAGAAGAGCGCCGGCGGCGCGGCGGCGGATGGCGGCGGCTCTGTGCTGGCGACACAGAACAGGCCGCCGGGCAGAACCACGAGCGTGGCTGCGTGCGGGCTGCGGCCGCCAAGCTTGGCCAACACAGTGATTGGGGAAGAGGCGGCGGGGCACTGGCGCATGAAGCGGGCCAAGCCCAGGGCTTCTGCGGGGGGTCTGGCCGAGCCATTCGGGGGAGCGGCGGCTCTAGTGGAAGTTGCCCTGGAGGCGGCCCAGGAAGTCGGCCCGGAAGCTGGCCCGGAAGTCGGCCCGAAAGTCGGCCCGGAAGTCACGGCCGTGCCGCTTGTCGACGAAGCTTCCTCGTCTTTAATAGCAATGCTGTTGGTGGCAGAGTCATTTATAGGCGTGGCAGAAGTGCCCTCCCTAGACACGTCACTCGAAGCCAGCCCAGTCATAGCCAACCCAGTGACAGACAGACCAGTCATATGCATACCATTCTCAGGTATCCCATTCTTAGGTATCCCATTCTTAGGTATCCCATTCCCAGTCATCCCAGTCATAGCCAGCCCATTCATAGCCAGCCCAGTCATTGCCAGCCCATCCCCAACCAGCCCACCTACAGCCATTCCTTTCACCCGCGCCCGCAAACACAGAAGCTCCCGGCCCTGCGCCTCGACCTGCCGCCGGAGCTCGGCGGCTAGCGCCCGCAAGCGCCCCGCCTCGCCCGGCCCTTCCGCCGCGTCCGCCGCCCCGGCCCATTTCGGGTCCACGTACTCGCAAAGATGGCCCACGTTGTTGCGCACGCACCCGGAGCAGGGCCTGCCTTTGTCGCAGCGCACCTTGCGCCGCTTGCAGTTGAGACACAGCACCGGGGCCCGGGCCCGGACCCGTTTTTTGTCTTGGCACATGGCCTTGGCGCCAGCGTGCTCGTTCCGGCCGGAGACGGACCTGCGTTTCCTGCCGCGCAGGGGCCCGGCGGCTAAGGGCGCTTGTTTTGTGTTTGTGGGGGCGTCCCTGCCTGCCACTGGAAGAGAGGAATGTCTGCTGAGCAGAGCACCGAGGCCAGGGACGATTGGTTGGGTGGTTGATCGATTGATAATGTGGTTGATCGATTGGTTGATTAAATTGTTTGATCGATTGATAGATTGATCGATTTGTTGATTGATCGATTGATTGATCGATTGATTGATCGATTGATTGATTGATTGATTGATTGATTGAAAGGTTGATTGATTGAAAGGTTGATTGATTGATCGATTGGTTGATTGATCGGTTGATTGATTGATTGGTTGATTGATCGATTGGTTGATTGATCGATTGTTTGTTTTTACCGAAACCGAGGTATTGGTGAGATCCACGCCTGCCGTTCTTGCCGATTCTGGGCCGGCGCTGGCGATTTGTATGATTCCGACTAGTAGTATGTAGTATGGGGTTCCCAGGTGCCCCGAGAAGTGCGAATCGGATGGTGCGGCACAAGCGGCGCTATGCGTCTGCCTCTGTTCTCTGTCCAGACAGTATAGAAATTATTACAAACTTATGACTCTAAGAATGGGTAATCTATAGGTAAAAGGTCTCCCATGCATTGAAAGGTAAATAATGAACTGCTTATACTCAAGAGTATGAACTGCTTATACTTAAGAGTATGAACTGCTTATACTTAAGAATATGAACTGCTTATACTTAAGAGTATG